AGAAGCCCCGCCCACTGTGATGGGCCCCGCCCCTTCGAAGAAGCCTCACCCACTTTTCAAGAATGGTGCAGATCGGCAGTATAGAGCCTTGGCTTGCATGCTAGGGTCTCGTTCGTCACTCGGAACAAGAAAATCCGGCAAAGTTTATTCCGAATGATCAGCAATACCCTAGCATGCAAGCCAAGGCTCTATACTGCCGATCTGCACCATTTTTGAAAAGTGGGCGGGGCTTCTTCAAAGTGGGCGGAGCCTCTCACAGTGGGCGGGGCTTCACGCAGCAGCCCTAAAATGCAAAAATTTTGAAAAAATATCGAAAGTCCGCGAAAAGCAAGTGGGCGTGGTCAGCCTAGATTGCCAAACCCTTTAGAGAATGGGCGGAGTCGGCCATGTCAATGCCCGGTCGTTTCCAGTCAAAGTGTTTGTGGGAAACAGCAAAAGCAGAAGTTATGAAACAAGATTTGAGAATCTATGTCCGCGCTGACAAGTGGGCGTGGCCGTCGGGGCGGGGCTCGCAGTGATGTCTGGCGTGATCTGCTTGATGATGCCCGCCCTTATAAGTGTGGTTAATTTGATGTGAAAAGTGAGGGTGAATTTGGTTTGAAAAGGGGTGAATTTGGTTTGAAAAAGGGTGAATTTGGTTTGAAAAAGGGTGAATTTGGTTTGAAAAAGGGTGAATTTAAAGTGAAAATGGTATATATGCAGTCTTTTTGTTACGGACATCAAGTTTTCCATCCTTTTTTCATCCATATCCGAACGACCGTAGAGGAAAACTCGTTCGTAGGGCGCAGAGTCGCTTGCCGTGCCCACCAGCCCGGCTTATCAGACGGTCATACATTCAAAAGTGGTCCTTCTTGCTAAAATGAATGCTTTCATATATGCTCCCCTCTGGGAAACGTCAACCTTCATTTTTCAGATGTTGAATTCTTTCCGTTTGACGACCAGCGATGCAGTCTGACATTTGGCAGTTGGACGGTACGTTCTGTTATATTCACATTGAGCTATGCTCATACTCTGCGGTAGCGTCCACTAGCGGTTCGTTTCGAGCGAAGACCAGAGCCCAGTGACTAGAAAACGTACACATAGATAGATCTAGCCAACGTCAGCGACCACCGGCGTCCGGGAGACGGTAAAGAGGATCGTAATTCGCCGCACCGCCACGCGCGGCGATGGGCGCGGCGTTTTCATAACTCGTTTTAACCTGTCGAATGAGCACCGGACTTCATGTAGACCCCGTCATCGTAGACAGTCATTACTGCTTTCGGTCCTTAAAGGCAGAACCCGCGATTATTCGCCATCTCAGATGGTGGATTAGGGGGTTCCATATAGACGACAAGGGGTTGAGTAACTCGACTGTAAAAAAGCACAAAAAACATGCCACCTGCCCTAGATAGAACCCCATTTCGATCCCAGTTTGTACGTGCCCAATCAACTCTATCTCCAAAACTACGCCCTCATATGCACGGCTTCACCGATAAGATTTCTACGATCGTACAAGTGGCGATTATCATGCTTTTTCGTCCTGCAATCTCATTTTTCACTGGAAGTCGGTCATTAGGGCGGAGTCTGGAGGCGGAGTCACTGGAAAAAAGGAGGAGCCACTGAACCTATATTGCGCTACAGCGCCCCTCCAATAGAATTTGTCGCCATCTACTACCTGGAACCATCGTCCTTTGCAGACGAGACGTCGCACGCGACGCCCAGCAGCGCGGCGAATTACGATCCTCTTGTCACATACCCCCGACGTCCACCGGCGTACGCCAGCGATCCGAGGGACTAGGGAAGTGTAGGTATCGATCTATGAACGCCGCGTCCACCAGCGTACAGTAGCGTTTTCGCGATGTTTCTGAACTTGAGTAAAACCGCTCACGAAAACGCAGGTGGACGTTGCCGCAGAGTATGATCCCCACTTACCCTGTAGCAACAAAAATACCGTCCGGGATTTGCTGACGTATAGGGGGCTAGAATCATGGCCTGTTTACGAGACCAAGCCTAGAAAGACAGGGAATTTGTCAGGATTTCGTAAGCCGGGGAATTAAACAATATTTAATGTGATTTTCATGTTATTTAATCAGTTTACTTTTATGATTATAACTTTGATGTTCAAACCTGTTATATAATATACATATACTGAAACATTAAAATTCAACTTTATTTTATCTTTTATTTATATATATATATTTAAGTTGGCGAAGGCTGTGAGAGCAGTGATGATGGTCAACTAGTTAGAATAGCAACCTGACAGGTTACTGTAGTTCAACAGCACTAGTTCCATTTGTTTTCTATGTTCTTGCCTAGGGATAGAACACGACAACTTTTCAGTATAGTCGTAACGAAGTCCAGTTAGACTTTTTGCATTCGGATCGGGTCGACTTCTCTGAATATGCAACGTCATCGATATGGGACATGATGGATGCCCCTGCTGTGCTAACCGAGGATCGGAGTAGAATCGAGTTCCAAGTCAGGATCAGGTCAGTTTAACCTCAAGTTGTATGGGACCACATGTTGATCATTTTGTAAGAACTTCCCATTTCCGAGTTCCCCTAAGAACGCTTTGATTCAGAAGGAAAACCTTGTTCTATACTGTTGTACTGATTCTACCGACGGTTCTGATGGCATTCTTAAATGTAACTGTCTTCTATCTTCCTACTGCTTCAGGTAGGTCGGCCATGCCTTTTATCTGTCTTTTTGGGGTCTTTTTGTGGCGAGGGTAGAGAGACGTTGCAAATGGTGTGACGCTCGCACCAGAACAAGTCTTTGAACCAGGGCACACCGTTGTTAGGGAATCCCCTCTCCCTCACCCCGGCTCGACGGCTCGATTCGATGAGGAGGGACAGAGGGCCGGAGGGGGAGGGGAGGGTCGTACCAACCCCAAAAAAGAGGGGTCGTACGGACTCGACTAAAATCCCCAACCAATGATGTGCCCTGCTCTGAACGCGGCAATGCTGTAGAGTGTCAACCGAACTAGCTAAGAATTGCTTAGTTGCCAGGACACGTCGTAGACTGGGAAAGTCTCACGGAGGGGGGGGGTCGTATTTGACCCAAATGTTTTTTCTATATTTGATTTTTACTGATTCATTCGCACTGTCCACAATGTTGGTAGACACGC